GCCCTGAGCAACCTGAACTAGTGAGTGGCATCTCTGCCCATGACCAGGGGATTGGAACTAGGTGATCTTTAGAGTCACTTCCAACCAAAGGCATTCCATGAAAAAGTATCTGGGCCTCAATACATGAAATGTTAGGCTGAGGCTGGCTTTTGTCTTTCAGGTTTGCAGCTCTAAGTGCCGTTTGTAGACAAGGGAGCAGGTCCCCGTGTCTGAACAATGACTAAATGAACATCTAGTGCCAGATTACAGTCTCTGAACATTACTAGTAATATTAAGATGAAGTTTTTCAGGATAGATGGCATGATGAGGTGGGTATAGCAAAAAGTGGAGGGAAGAATGAGGAGGAGACATTAGAGTAATGCTGAAAATGCAAAAAGTAATACTTCTGCTCCTGGAAGGGACTGTACGTCCATCTTCTGGTCAGAATGCACTTGCTCTGAGTAGGTGTTGATACACAGCTTTCTGATGAGCAGAGCCAGTTGAAAAATTACAAGCACCCATGATTGCTATTCCCTGTGGTTGTGCATTATCCTTTAGAGAAATGCAAGCTGAGGTTGATCTTGAGTCACCAAGATTGACTGAAGGAGGTGTGAAATACACTGCTCTTGAGCTGGGAGGTCATGTTGAAGGCTGTCTGTACCCCACATAACCACAGTATTGCGCTCTCATCCATCTTTGAAGCATCCTTGACTGGATGCTTGAAGGAGAACCATCTGCAAATGAAGGTCTTAGCTGGGGCACTTTAACTTCTTAGTGGCCTTCACTCAGCTAGGCAGCAGCTGCGTTGCTGGAGGTGGCTGCTGTCTAGAAGCCCTGTTGTGAATTCACTGTGCTTCCTTGTTGCTGTGTTAGCTCATCTCTAATTGCGATTCTGCCCTCCTGCTTCCAGTGGTAAAAATCTGACCCTTGCTCCTTTTGTTTGGCATTGTCAGGAAGGTTGCTGAACATCTAGAGAAGGGGGTAAGAACAGGAAAACAGTAGATTTGTTTGAGAGATCTTGTTTGAGAGATGTAGAAACTGAGGCACATTTACAGTTTTCCTTCCTCCAACCTCTGAGGCAGTATCTGCGATCCGAGCCCACTGAGCACTTTGTCCTGGGCCTACACTCAGTGCATTGTTTTTGAGGCAGCAGCAGCACTGTGTCCCTGGGCTTGTGGGCTTGAAGAAGTCAGATCAACACAAATTGTCCTGTTTGCTTTTTTTAGGAGCTTGCTCTGGAACAGGAGAGCTGGGGCTTTTGTATTGACAGTGGGGAAGGGGAATTTTAGTTTTGTTCAGTGCTTTAGTTCTGTGTGAGCAAGCAGCCTGTTATCTGCTTCCCTACAGGAGTATTTGTGAGGCAGTGGGCTTGTTAGGAGGGGAGGCTGTTCTTGCTTTTCCAGTTAATGAAGGCTGCCTTCTGGAAGCCTTCATTGTTCCTGGGTCTGTGTGCCTGCTGCTCTGACTACAATTTCTGAGACTTCACCCATGGGAACAGCATGGGCTTGCGTCTATCTACGACTGAATAGCATGGGCAGTGACTGAGCCAAGGCAGCTCTGCTTTCTGGCAAGGAACTCTAACAGTGGTCAGAGGAGGTATGTCAGAAGTCCAAGTGTGCTTCCGGCTGTGGAGGGCTGCAAAGGTGTTACATAACTTCTGGCTGGATCAGGGCACTGCTGATTTCAGTGTTTACTACTTGTACAGAAAGGAGTGAGGTGGAGTTAATGGCAACTCAGATGTCTTTTGGACATTTGCATGAGAATCCCTAGACTGGAGGGAGGGTTGCCAATTTATTTGGAGTGTGGTGCAGAAAATACTGGACAGTATTTCAAGCCAGAAAACCACTTCCCTCTCAGCATCTGCCAACACATGTCTGGATGTGTAGGCACAGCACTGACAGAGCATGGCCTGGTGGCTAGAAACTGGGTAGGGGAGGAAATGAGCCCATGTGCACTGCTGGGAACTTAGCTTCTGCCAAATCTTACATGAAACAGAGCTAAAGACTCTTCAGCTGTGTCTGGCCCACTCATGAAGTATGTGCTGACCTATTAAGCATCATTTTGAGGTTTTTTTTAAAGCACTGGGTTTTTTGCTTAGTTGATTTTGTTGGTTGTTTGGTTTGGGTTGTTTTTTGTTGGTGGGTTTGTTTTTTGTGGGAGGGGTGGTTATTAGCAAAGCTTTCTATTTTTGTGTCCTGGGTTAAATGAATACTGGTTTACTCTGGAAAGGCTGCATTTACTTCTAGGCTTGCTGCCGGATAGAATGGAGGGAAAAGAAGATCTTGCTTCTATCCTTTCTCAGCATTTCAAAGACCTTAGAACAGGCTATCCAAAATCCATAAGGGCCTGATTTTCTCCCACCCCAGTGGGATTGTTCTTGCTTTCATGAGGTGACAGTAGTCCCCTTTGCTGCACCTCACCTCCCTTCTCAAACCTGACTTCCCTCTCTTCCATCAGGCAACATTGACCTGTCACTTGCTGTGCTCTGAGTTCCTGGCAAGGAGCGAGGTCAGTGCCAGGCAAACACACAAATGTCCTTGCTGTGGAAACTCCTGCGTATATATCCAGTGTATCTCTCAATTCAAGGTTTGCTGGAGAGATAAGACGCTTTGTGGTTTGCTTGTATGTGCTGTGGCCCCTTTCCTTGCATCCCTCTTGGCAAGCCTTGCTTTCCTTCAATGGAAAATGTCAAACAGAGCTGGGCTGCCTGCTGCATCTCTGTAGTGCCTGAAAAACAAAGGCAGAAGTGGTCAGAGTCTCTCAGTGGTTCTAAATTCAGGGGTGAGATGCAGCCCAAGAATTTGGGTTTGAAGGCTGAAGTTCTCAGGGCAGCTTGTAGGAGATAGCCAACCACTCGGAAAGCTGACCTGAAAGTGAGGGGTCACAGAGCAGGGCCACTGGCCAGAGCTGCGTTCAGCTAAAACAAACCACGGCCCTCCCTGCCAGCTCTCCTCTGTGATACAAGCGTGGGGAGGGAAGCCTTTGAAGGACATTCTGTGAGTGATTTGAAATGAGGAATTCTTACCTTAACTGTTTTTGAGGGGTGAAATTACGGAGAAGTCCCAGTGATTCTGGGCATGGCTGGGCCATCTAATGTGCACCCATGCTTGCTATCCCTGCTTTGGCATTTTGCCACTGCCCTGCTGCTCTCAGGAAGATGCTGTGGTGACCTCTCAGTAGATGGCAGCTCTCACTGACTGGGATTGGGGATAGAACTTACTTTGAATTAAAGTCCTAGTGATACTCAGTGGTTCATCCCACCCTCCCTGCTCTCAGAGCTGCTGACCTGAACAAAACCTGAGCGGCAAATCCTGCAGCAGGAAAAAAAGAAAAGCATTTGTATTATGAGCTGGGACTAGCATGAGGGTGCTGTTAGGCTGTGAGGGCCTGTGGCCAAGCTTATGACATATTGAGCTGGGAAGTGTCACCCATGTCCAGCAAAAGGAGTGAGGCTTTGGTCAGTGATGCCCTGCAAATACAACTCCACATTTTCTCAGTTCACGTCCCTCCATGGGTGTATCACAGTGTGGGAGCACAACTGCCTGGCTTGCCCTCAGTAAACAGTGGGAGGTGGAAAGAAATAATTCTGTGTGCTGCTCTACCAGGTGCAAAGTGACAGGTGATTTTAGAAATATGATTTCCTCTGAAGAATGTTTTTTTTCTTCTTTATTCCTTTCTGAATTGTCCATGGGTCTCTCCACTGGGCCTGAGGGGTGTGTTTGAATGCTTGAACACTTACCTTTGAAACTGTTGGATTGAAGAATGGATTTCCATCCCAGCTTATAGAAAATTCTAGAAAATAGTTGCATTCCTTAATGTCTTTAATGCTTTTTTTTTTCTTTTTTTCTTTTTTTTTTCCCAGAAAGCTTAAGCATCCCCTTCTCACCTGAAAGCTTTGGGCGGAAAACTTTCATTTTGGGGTGAAACCCCAAAACTTTCCACTTATCTTCAGAACTATGAATCCACTGTGTGTGTGTGTGTGTTGTTTAGGGGGACATTTGCTATCCAGTTCTCATGCTGTAGTTTCTTTCCCCTGTACCGATTGATTAGAGAGTCCAGTATTTAAGGTTTTTTCTTCTACTGGCTACTAATATGTTACTGCATTAAAAAAACTTGATTAAAGCAGACATCCTACCAAATGGTGAGCTATTAATTTGGTATTAGGTACAATTCATGCTCTTGAAATAAGAGCTGTTCCCAAAATCCAATGAAACTGTCTCTGCTGCTGCAGTTTAGGTCCTCTTGGACAAATAATTGATTTACCCTGGAGAGGAGGGTAGACTATACCAGTGACAATGTTTCTGGGAATAAATTAGTTTTCTTCTACAGAAGGCTTACTAGTATGAAGTATCAGAGTGAAATGAATGCTACTTCTTTGTGCCTTTATGGTACTTTTCAGCAGAGAGTTTGGCAAATGAGCTAAGTGTGCTTGCTTCTCACCACCATCATGCAAAGTAAGTGAATATTCACATTTCAGAGGTAGGAGCCTGCAGTATTGGGAAAGGCAACGATGTGGCTGGATGCCATCATGTCATTAGCAGAATTCATTAGTCTTACTTTCACCCCTTGCTGTAGGAACTGGCTTGCCCCTCTCCTCAAGGCAGCAACCATTAGGGCTCCTGATGCCCTCTTCCAGCCCTCAGCTTGTAACCCCTTTTATGATTAGATATAACAATGAATATTGCTCCTGAACTAGGATTTAGTTCTGGTTCCTAGAAGGGAAGTCTAATGCAGAACAAGGTGAGCATTGCTCAGGAACTGGTATGTAGAGGTGGTGTTCATATTACTGTTCTTCACCCATGCCCTGATGGGCTGGACTGCAGCAAGATCCTTTGGTCCATCCTTCTTTCCTGCTTCCCCTCCTTCTTCCCTCCCTCCACCCCCAGGGAGGCTGTCCTACTTTTTTCTGTTTTTCTTTCTTTCCTTTTTTTCCCCCTCTCAGATGTACTTATAAGCTTTTAATCTGGCTGTCCTTGCAACAAACGACAGTCCAGGAGACACAGGGAGGGACTCAAAGCAGCATGATAGCTCAAGGCTTCCTGGGGCTCATGCGGCCCTTGCGAAGTGGACTGAATGTGAGCAAAATTCACTTTATTTATCTCAGTGGGGTGACTGAGCAGCATCACAACCCAGCAAAGTGGTGGTCAAAAAGAGGCTTCAGCTCCACGCACAGGCTCCAGGATGCCCCCGGGGAGTCGAGGTGAGTCAAATGCTGACTGTGCCTTACTGCATCTGAAGGGACAGACATGCCCCCCTGCCTTGCCCTGCAAAAGGGAAAGGAGAGAGGCTAGCATAGCCATGGCCTGTGGGAGGTGGTGTACGAGGCCACCACCTGAGGTGAGCAGATGCTGATGGGTGGTGCCACAACCAACCTGCCCCTGGAGCTTTGGGGACCTGTCTGAGCGGTGTTGCCCCTTGCCCCCGGAGTTGTGGGGACCACAGCTAGTGGATCCAGCTCATGAAAGTGACAATGTGGCATAAGAGGCCTTTGGCCCCTGCGGCCCAGACACCAGCCTCTGAGAAGGGGGACAGTGGGCAAGGTGTGTTGGGCAGCTAGGCCATCAGCCTGCTGTGTTCCCGCTATGGGGAAGCTGGGATGACCACAGAGTTTCTCTGGGAATTGTGAGTTCTCTTGTGTTTCTAGTCCCCTCTGCTGTAGGGGCAGAGCAGGAGGGGGATGATGTCTGCAACTCCTTGGGCTGTGAATGAGCTGTTGTGCCTCGCTGATGCCTGTGCTGGACAGGGAGATGGAGAATCTGGCACAGGTGCTTGGCTGCTAGGGACAACTCTGGGTGCAAGGGTCTCTGCCAGCCCATGCCTCCAGTGTCCTGCCTGGCTCCTGGGACCAGGGGCTTGTGCTGGACTTTACTAGACTGCTTGCTTGGGATGGGATGCACAGTCTGTCATGAATACTGAGCTTGATTTGAACTCTGTGGCAAAAATGCTTCAGAAGCACGTGTTCAGAATTGTCTTTAAATGTACTTGGTCCCCGCCAGGGTGGAGGGCTCCTGACTGGTCACCTGAAAGGGCAGAGTTGGTTCAGTTAAGAGGCCTGGCTGACACAGCCCCTTTGGAGGCAGCCCTGAGGGGCCGAGGAGTCCAAGAAGGCTGGACATTCCTCAAGATGGAAATCTTCAAGGTGCAGGAGCCAACTGCCCCCCTGTGCTGAAGGGCTGAGGAGGGGCTGTGGGCACATAGCACTCTTCTGTATTTCCACAGTAGGAACTATGGCAGGCTCCCTGCCAGCCTTTCCTCTCTCTATTCTTTAGGGATAGTTCAGAAGGAGATTGCAAAATAAAGGAATTTCTTTTTTATTGCAAAATAAAGGAATGAAAGGAATGTCTTTCTATTTGGTTTGTGCTTTATGAAGTTATCTCTGGCAGTACTTGTAGGCATCTTGCTGCTTTGTATGGCCTTGGAAAGTATCTTCTAGGGGAAATATTGATCGGGAGAAGAATCACTTCGTTGAAACCCCTTCACTAGCTTTCTTTGTCACAGAAAGTTTGAGATTTTATTTTTTAAAAGGGAATAATCAGTTGTTATGCGTTGAACTTGCATTGCTGAGTTTGTCACATCCTGGTAAGATCTTTCCAAAGCCCTGACCATGTGTCTTGTGATGCCATTCTAAAATAGTTCAGCCTAAATGAAGCAAAACTTAGTCTAATCAGTTTTGATTTTTTTTTTTTTTAATCCTCATACAAAATTACTTAACAAAATGTAAAAGGAATTTTTTCCTAGTTTCAGAAACACCAATAAACAAATTCAAAAGTAAATAAAAAATAAAAGCTGCAGACTTTGTTTCCAGTCTTGGGCACCCAAAAGCAGAGGTCCTCCAGAGGAGACTTGAGCCTTGGACTGATTTGAGGGATATGAAGACAAGGAGACCAGTGAGTCTGTGGAAGGTGACTGAACCGAGCAGTTAAAATGGGGAGTCATTGGGCTGGGTTTATGCCCCCAACAGAGGCAGCTACACTGAGAATGCAGACAAACAGCTTAAATGTTCCTTTCAGCTAGCAGAGAGAGAGAAGCTGCTTGCAGTTGCTCTCTGTGTCGTGGTCAGGAGTGCTTGGCATTATTCCTGCCCTGGAGAAGAGTGAACTGCTGCGCCCAGGCTCATCCAGAGTCACACAGGGGGTCTGGCAATAGCAACTGTACTTCCTTGTACCTAAGTGGGCTGTCCCTTGTACCCTGTGTGCTGTCCCTGGCTGCAGCTTGGCTGTCTTGGGGCTCGTGTAACTGGCAGGAACAGTCAAAGCAAGGTTGTATCTCAGAGGAACTGCAGGGAACTATGGGAGGCTGGTGCAGAGATTCTCATGGGACTGATGTTGGCTGAAGCTCTAGGTGCCTCAGAGATAACAGGAATTCAGTTTTCTGTCAAAAAAAGTGTGGGCAGCTTTGGGATTCTTGGCTTCAGCACTCTCTGCAGGCACTCAGCTTTATTATCCTATTGAAGGATCCATTCAGTTGCAGCACTAAGGGAAGTTTTATCACTTTACCATTTCTATTGTGTAACAAATGACTTCACCCATAAATTTAAACCAAACATTGGCCAGAGACCTGCTTGTTTGTCATAGAAATGGAATAAATCAATCTGATCCACCAAAATATGAAGAGGGTTGTTTTAGTTTGTTTGACATTTGAGAACTACTCTTTAAATTGCTTATTTACAAAGAGATGTCTGCAGGTGTCTTTATGAAGGAGACTGAAATGTCTTAACAATGTTTTTTGGCTGTTTGGTTTTGGAAACAGGGAGGTCCTACATAGCTGTGTGTGATTGCAACATGATCTTTTTGCAGGTGGGGAAACTCTTCCCTCTGCAGCTCGGCCCTGTGCCAACTTCACAGCTGTTTGCACAACCAGAGGATCCCCTGATTATGTTAGTTAGTCTACACTAACAGCTCAGGCATCTTTTGCAGCCGAAGCTCGTGGAAAAACAGGAAGCTGGCCTACTGGGATGAAAGTACCGCGGTTCCTGTGTCCTGCTCCTGCTAGCTGAATCAAAGCACAACTGCAAACAGAAGAGCAGAGAAAGCAAAAAATACTGTTTCATCTCTTCTTCACTTCCAACTTTTGATGGAATATGGGAATTGACTTTGAATTTTTTGCTCCTAAAGTCTTGTTGATGAAGTCCACACCTTAATGTATCCTTACTGACTTAGAGATGAACTGCACTGATTTGCCAGCAGCTAAATAGAATTAGAGCTGGATGGTCATTCATTGTGACTTACATGAAGCAGAATGAAGAAGACCTGCAAAGTTGAAAGAGGAGAGAGAGAACATTTCTTCCCCTTTTCCCATTACATTTTTACAGGAATTCTTTCCTGTCTCGTATCCAGCTGGATACATCCCCTGTACTCCACCTGTGCCTCCTGTGAGTTAAGAGCGAGCAAAGGAAATTGTTTAAAATTGATCCTTATATATTTGTACCTAACGTTAGAAGCAAATCAGCAGAAATCTCCACATTCTTTATTTTCCTTGCCACAGAGCAGAGAGGGGTTGAGCAGGCAGGGTCTTTCCAGTTGCTGGTGTTGCTATCACAGGTACAGTTCCCATTTAACCAATTCCTCCTCCCAGTCTGTGACTTCCCAAGAGGACACCTGATACTGAGGAGCATAGGCACTCTAGCGATTCCTCAGCTGACAATTTTGCTGTAACATGTGACCTGGGGCTATGACAGTTTGTACTTGGTGTGAAAAATCAGTAGATAACATTAGAAATTCTCACAGCTCTGAGCCATGTTTGCTGTTTGTCTCACTGGCCCCAGGGCTTCCAGAAGTGTTACCAAGCTTTACCCCAGCACTTGTATTAGAAGAAGCTGGGTGCTACTTCACTCAGTCTTGTGTAAGTGAGAAAAATCAGGGGACTGTGAGCTTGGCCAGTCCTCACTGCAAAATTTGCTCCGGTTTCAAGGCTTTGTTTGACACAAATGACAGCAGCAAAGCCACAGGGCAGCACTGATACTGATAACTTTGGAGTTACCAGAGCTAGGGGAGGCAGAGGTGGATCTCTACAGCAATCTGGATGAATGGTGTGTGTTGTCAGCCTGATGGAAGAGTAGAGAGTGGACACAGCTTCTGCCACTGGAGAATGCCCTGGGCTTTGGGGTGATGGGTACTTGGGGAGTGCCACACAGAGTTACTGGGCAAAAGGCCCCACTACCTCCAAGGTGCTGCCCTCTTTCAGCACAGGAGATGGGACCTTTGCATAACTCCTTCTTCTAAGTGATCGTTAGAGTATGCACACTAAGAAAAAACAGTTTGCTCATGTGCTTCCCCTGGCAAATACAACACAGTCTCAGAATGTACTGCCTTGGTGAGGAATCCGTGACAGCAATTGTACTTTTTTATGCTCAGATAGACATTTATTCTGAGTGATGTTTGATAAAGTGGGAAATATTTTGGGGCAACTCAGACTTGCCTGCCACTGAGAACTGTTAATTTGAATGTTTTCTGAGGTCCATGGTATAATCCTTTGAGAAAGTGTTGTATGCATGTTTCCCTTGTCTCTAGTGCCATGTCTCTAGTGCTCAGCCAAAAGACCTCAACTGTGGGCGTGCAGGGAAGGGTGGAGTCCTGATTTTTGCAAACTTGTTTTACAGCTCCACAGGTCAGGTGACAGTGCATTTTATAAATCGGGACGGAGAGCGACTTACAACCACAGCCAAAGAAGGGGAGAGTTTGCTAGAAGTGGCAGTCAATCAAAACTTGGCCATTGATGGATTTGGTAGGTATTGCAGAAGGATATATGTGTGTGCTCTAAGGACCAGTGGGTACTTGGGAACAGTGCAACTGTACATATGCCACTGTCCTGCTGAGGCCATAAAGCAAGCTTCCCTTCCCCAAAAGCTGCTTGCTGGGTGGCTTACCCTGCTGAGATGGCAGTGTGACTTCACAGTCACCACTAGCATTCTAGCAGCCTCTGTCAGTGTGTTTGACTGGTTAGAGCTGATATACAAATTTGAAAACTGATTGTGATCCTCCCAGAGAAGAGGCAGGCTGAAATCTGCATCCGTCTGTTGTGTTTTCTGGCATCTCTTTTGACATGTTCCAGATCTGCTAAAGGACCTTTTCTCACATTGTTCCTGAAGATAGTCTCTCTCATGCTTGTTTTTCCTGATTTGCTGTCATTCTCTCATTTCTCCACCAGGTGCATGTGAAGGAACATTAGCCTGCTCTACCTGTCACCTCATCTTTGACAAGGACACCTTCCAAAAGCTTGATGCTGTCTCAGATGAAGAGCTGGACATGCTAGACTTGGCGTATGGACTCACTGAGACGTAAGCCTCCCTGCTGATCGCAGTAGATCCTCAAGCCTCTGAGGCAGATTCAGCACGTGGCACCTCTTTCCAAGGGGGCAGGGCTTGTTCTATATTACAGTTCGTGAGCTGCTTTCTCTTGGGGCACAGGAGATCTTTAACAGGAGCTTTAGTGAAAACCCACCCTGGACCAGATGTCCCAGTGTGGGTGGGGAATTTCTCCCTTTTCTGTGGGAACAGATGAGCCTCACTTCATGTTTTCTTCTCAGATCACGCCTTGGCTGCCAGGTATACGTCAAGAAGTCAATGGATGGTCTGACAGTGCGGGTCCCCATGGATGTGTCAGACGTCAGGAGACAGATGGAGATTGGAAAGCAAAGCAAACAGTAACTGGAAATGACTCCTGCACAGCTCACATCCTCATTTAGGTGTGGCAGGGTACTTTGCTTTTGGTTGACAAAATTGCTTTTTGTGGCTGGTTTGCAGTAGGCCACAGAGGTCTGATTCAGTATAAAATGCCTGTTTGGCAAATACCTTATTTAAACAAGTTTTAATGCTTAATAGGGTCTTTGGTACATGTTTTAAGTGCTGAAATGCTCTGCTGTATGCAACTGGACTAAAGTGCATGGCTTTATATTCCCCTGAGTGGGTGTCAGTAAACATCTGTACTGTATGTAACTCACCCTGTCCTTGGAAATTTAAGAATTCTGCTATTATGAGTAACTGCTCAGAGTTTTCCAAGGCTTGTCTCTTTAAAAGTGGAGCAGATTTTTCCCAATAGGGGAAGCTTAAGAGGAGCTAGCTGTTCACAGGTCAGTGTACTGATGGGCTTGATGATGAAGGTGGCTTGAGTTTGGTCAGCAAGAGCATAGTGATAACACTCGCATGCTGACTTCCTGAAAGCGGGAACCAATTCTATGAACTTGAGATGTTACAGGACCTTGAATCGTTCTATTCCAGGATCAGCCACTGTCTCCAAATATTAAATTTTCCCATTGCTGTACTACTGCACATGTCAAATAAAATTCTAATAAAGAGGCTTTTAGACTTTTGAGATGTGCTTTTCTGGTACCACGAGCCTGGCTGGAATAGAATGAGCTGAATGGAAATTTGGTGGGGTGGATTAAGCACAGCATTACCAGCTGGTTAAAGGCAGTGATTGTCCTGTTCCGCTCCTCACTGGTGTGGCCTCACCTTGAGTCCTGTGTGCAGTTTTGGGCACCACAATATAAAAAAAGACATGACTCTATTAGAGAGTTTCCAGAGCAGGGCCACGAGGATGCTGAAGGGTCTGGAGGGGCCATACAAGGACCAGCTGAGGGCACTTGGTTTGTTCAGCTGGAGGAGATTGAAATCACACCTCACTGTGGTCTTCACCATCCTCCTGAGGAGAAGCAGAGGGGCACCTACCAATCTTTGCTCTCTGTGACCAGTGACAGGACTCGAAGGAATGGCTGGAGTTGTGTCAGGGTAGGTTTAGGTTGGATATTAGAAAAGGGGGGTTCGGGCACTGAATAGGCTCCCCAGGGCTGCGGTCACAGCCCCAGGGCTGCCAGAGCTCAAGGAGTGTTTGGACAACGCTCTCAGACACATGGTAGGATTTTGGGGTGGCCTGTGCGGGACTCGCTGATCCTGATGGGTCCTCGCAGCTCACGATATTCCATGATTCCACGATTCCGTGATTCTCTGGAATGTCGGTGTAACGCGGGCTCCGGGCGGGTGGGGCTGCGGTGACGGCAACTGGGGCGCCCGGGGGCGCTGGCGGGGCGGCTGCTCTGGGTCCGCCCTCCGTCTCCTCCCTCCTCCCTCCCTCTCGCTCGGTCCCGGTACCGGAGCCGCGGTCAGTGTCTGAGGGTCTCTGCAGCTCTGTGCTTTCTGACTGCCGACACCGGCCCTGCCCCCTCGGCGTGGCCCGGGGTACCTGCTGACGAGTGATATTCTGTAAATCCCCACAATAGGCTTTGACTTCCTCTCTGGTCCTTCATGCAAAAATCGGTACAAAATTTTATCCCTGTCCGAATTTTATTCTTAGCAGAAGGCTGCCTGCGGGGGAGATTTCCTGGCATGGGCCAGGGCAAGGCCAATCCTTCCCCAGGGTAGCCCTGTGCTTTGTCATACAGTAGAAAACTCCTCTAGCCTGTGCCTGTTTCTCCCAAACCTCTTCTCCTCCAACTCATCCCAGGTTTACTGTAATAAAGCAAAGAGAATAAAAATGGATTAAACGAAAGCACTAAACCCACCACTTTCAGTACCACTTCAAGTCTGTCCCCACTCCTGGTGTCCCCTTGCAAAGCTGAGGTGATGGGGAGCTTTGCAGTCCCACTCCTCAACCCCCACCTCATAGTGAGCTTGAAGTTGGAGCCCAGGCTGCCACTGGCAGGTGCCAGCTCTCTGCACCCACACAGCAGGATGGCAAGGGAGGGAGCAGCTGCTGGCTTAGTAGGGTCGAGTGGCTTGTGTTTGTTTTCAGTGTGGGTGACCTTTGAAGAAAGAGTTTCTAGGACAAGCTGTTAAGCTTTCAAGTGCAGGGAGTCAAAGTATTCCATGCTCCTTTTTGGCAGGGCTGTCTGTCCCTCAAGGGTGCCATGGGATAGCAGAGAGGCCTCTGCACAAAGGAGCTACCTGCAAAGGACTGGGGGAGAATACGTCTTTGGACACTTGCTTTCCTGCCTGTTGGAATGTCAGAAATAAGACTGAGAAGGTTAAAATAAGTCACAGTTGCCCCAGGCACTTCTGTCATGTTTCTGTCAGCCTGCAGGATAAGAAAATAAATCATACATGCTGAGCAGAAATAAGAAGAGGCTGAACTACATGAGTCATTTCTCTTCCAGGCAAATGAGTTGGACTTGTATGGCTTTGGTCTATATTGGGAGCAGGCCTTGAAGGCTCCTCACTTCCTGGATGGCAACCATGTGACATGACTTCCCGAGTGACTGTCTCCAGTCAGGCAGTGAGTAGGATTTTCAGTATGTGTGAGGCCAACTTGGTCTAAATCTCTCTGTTTGATCTGAGAAAGGGCAGAGAAAGAAGGGAAACCTATTTGTGTCTCAGTGCTCTACATTAAGGGAAACTGTGGCTTTTCTGGGGCAGAAAGCCAACCAATCGATTATTTGGTATTTTTTGTTATGAGCAAGCTGGGTGCTGTGGAACTTTTTTAAGACTGGTCTCTCAGAGTTGTATTATTGCCTGGCTCATGAAAAAGGAGTGCTGCAGATTTCCACACCCAGAAGTGTGGTTTGTGCTACATTTTACAGGATTTTGTTTCGTTTTAAATATAGAAAAATGATCGCTAGAGGGCTGGGTTAGAGCAGCTAACCAGGGAACTGCACCCATATTAGGCAGCCTAAGATGAGGCAAGGCAAAATATGTGTTTTGCCCTGCTTGTCTCAGTGTTTCTAAAAATTAATTTCTTTTTAACTTGCTTGTGATTCTTTTAGGTGATGCAAATTGTGAGCTCTTAGTCTGCATTTGGTCCAGGTCCCCTTTGCTTGACCTGAGCCCAACCACTGAGCCAGTTTACAATCTGTTAGCATTTTAGAATACAGAACAATCTCTCTTCCAAGAACAGGCAGACTTTTCATATAATATTTCGTGCTGTTTCACCTTCTTGAAAAGACAGGAGTAATGCCTGAGCTGCTGTGCCAGCAGAGGGTTCCTTGTTGGCCTGGTCAGCCTGGCAGACCTCAGCTGGGAGGTGAGTGCCTGTCACAGCACAGGTGGGTGCTTGCAAACACTACCACCCTGACACAGGGGAGAGAGCAGTGGGAGCAAGGGAACAAAAGGTGACAACAGCACCACAATGACAACTTGTGTGTCTTTTATTGAAATAGTTACAACTGCAGCTCTGGAAAAAAGACTGTGAATGCTTCGTCGCTGTTCATGTATGAGGAAAATGATGGTGGTGAGGGGGTTGTGTTATGATTATATACATCTTTCATTATACAAGGGCCACAAAGGTGATCAGAGACAGGGAGTGCCTCATCTGAGAGTTAAACACCTAACAAAACAAACCCTATACAACTTGGAAAGAGGGCTCTGGGCTTCCCCCTGCCTCCCCTGCCCCAGTATTTGATGGTGTGAATTTGGAGTGCTGGGCCAGGTTCCTGTCACTGACCCTCACAGGCACCTGGCAGATGAGTGGAGGAATCTGACACCTTCTAAATCATTTTGCAGCAGTGGCTTCCCCCTCTGTGCAAGGACTGAACCATGGCAGTTGTTAAGCAGCTCCAGCTCTGGCTATTTGCAGACACTCAGCAGCTTGCAGGGGCACTTACTGCACAAGCACTACCTTTCAGTCATTAGGATTCACACATTTCTCTTGTCCTTCACCAATTCACTGTACACTGAGTAAAAGAAGTGGGACTCTGAGAGAAATCGCAGTAGAAAACTCTCATGTAACTTTCAAATGAACCATCCCGAACCTTTTAATCGTTGAGACTTTTCCCGGTGTTTTCTTAACACCTACCAAACTGATGTGGTGCTCTCAGCATCTTTTTAGAGCTCAGCTGGCAAGACTACAATCCTCTAACAAGTTCCATTATGGCTATCGTGCTTCTGAGCATGGCTTTGAATGGAATCATGGGGATGCTCCAGGAGTCCACTGGCTGTGTCTCTTTGGTGGTCCCCACCTCCAGCCTGCTTAGCGCATCCCTGCCTGGAACTGCTCCAAACTTAATTCTACTGGAACACATCGGGCCATGTACTCTGCTGGGTGGGAACTACAGTGCTTCTCTGAGCCAGCATCAGTGCTGTTGAAGCCTGGACGGTCTCAGAGTATGGATTGACAACTTTCTGGCCAGATAGGACTTTTCATCAGCATCCACTTGACAACATCGCTGACAACTTCCACAACTCCTTGACCTCATGTTAAAGCCAAGTCCTGCTCAAGTCCCTCTTAGCATGACTAGGAATGTGATTAGTTGCCCTATCCATACTGCCTCTGGAAAGGGACACCATCATTTATAGAAGGTGACATTAGGACTGAAAGGACCAGCTACTCCCAGAGGACACTGAAGAACATTCATGGCCCTGTCAAAGTGATAGTGCTAAAATCCTTCATAGCAACTGTGTCTCTGTCAAATGCTAACTTGGGGGAAGGTATGAGAAGAAAGAATTAAGGCACAATTAATTAGGGAAAGAAGCAACTTTGAGGTTAAAATGTTGTTACATATACTGTCTGTCAGTGAGTGCTGGACTTTGGACTCCGGGCTCCAGCTGGTATTTTTGGAACCCAGACTCAACCAGTAATGGATATAGGCTGTGAGCTAGACCATAGGGGACAACAGACGAGCAGAGCAAAGCAGCAGTGATTTCTGGAATGTAGGTGATCTTCCTTTGCATGAGTGGTGGTGATGAACAGTGAATAATGGTGGGTTTTGTGCAAGTGTAAAGATTTTTAACTAATTCTGATACGGCATGAGCTGTCTCGATTCTCCAGTCATCCACATACATCGGCAGCTGACTGGAGAAAATAAAGCAGTTTCTCCTTTCCTGCTATGAAAAGAAATGGAGTCAGGCCCTGTACAGGTCAGCTAATTTATGAAGAGGGAGAGTGTGGTGGCATTCAGCCCACTACACACCCAGCCAGTGAAATCTCTTCCATCAAAAAAGGGCATAAAGAAAACACAAGGACAAGCCCCTCCATCCCCACCCTTCCTACCAAAATGATTATTGAATCTCAACATTACATACACATTAGTGTCACTTTACACTTGTTGTCCCATGCAAGCCTGCTAAATTCTTCACACCCTGGTCATACATTACAGAATATTTTCTGTTGCACACACACACAAAAATATTTAGTTTCTCCACATCCATTGCCCTAGACAAATGTCTCTTCAGTAAAGGCCACTGTGTCATGCTCCTCTGCAGCCACGTCTGCCAGCGGTTGGCTCCTGAGCCACGCCACCCTGCTCCGGAGGAGTTCATTCTCCACTGCTTCCACTTCCACTGTGGGAGAGGG